AGTTGAATTTTCAGCATTAATTTAAAAATTCATTGAATCTTTCAATCATTCTGAAAATTTCGGAAAATTGAGTTTTTCATATTGAATAATAATTTATTTTTTGATTAAAAGTTGAATTTTCAGCATTAATTGAAAAAAATCATTGAATCTTTCAATCATTCTGAAAATTTTGGAAAATTGATTTTTTCATATTAAATAATAATTTATTTTTTGATTAAAAGTTGAATTTTCAAGATTTCGACTATTTTTCAGTGCAGCATCGATTCGAAAATTGAGAATCACCAGAATACTTAATAAATTAAATGATTCGTCAATGAAAAATTGTTGAAGATACTATTCACCTGTTCTTACCTGAAATGTTAAGTTGAATTTTCCAACAGGATACTGTTTAAATATTTTTGTCTGTATTCAGTGATGCCGCTTGTATCCTCAACAATTGTTAATTGAAAAACGATCAACCCGTTGATTTTTAAGAAATTATAATCCGCGACGCGCCATTTAAACACGTGAAAAGTTCTTTGAATAAAAAAATTTCTCTCTCAAGTTCAAACCGAACAATCTCAAACAAAATGTCATCCATTTGTAGCTATTTTTTAAAACTATTCGTCACAAAAATTTAAACAAACTCTCTCTCTCTCTCTCTCTCTTGTAAATATTTTGAATCGCAGCGACCTTAAAGAGTAAATACTCTGTGAGTACTTGAATAAATTACCGATCGACAAAATATCGTTCCCAATTTCTCATTGACAATTCAAATAGTTTTCTAGTATTGACATTTTAATTGACTGCAGAGGTTGATGCCCACCTTCCTCATTGCATCATTCGATTATTCCCCATTGTCTTCATCAATTTGAAACGTGATTCCAACACTCGTGGGACTGACAATTTCTCTAGATGATGAGAATGCACTTTTCATGAATTCTTTCTCTTTCACGAAGACAAATACCCGTAAAAGGTCACCCTCGATATAAATTAAACTACATTTTTGGGATGCAAAGGCTTTACAAAGAGCAACAGCAATCGACGAATACATTTTATTACCGAGAACATCTGCAGGTGTTCAGACAATCGAATAGGTCTCGTAACTCGTGTTCGAGTTACGAAATTCTCAAGTGATTTTTAGTTCTGAATTTTACTACACGAGTGAAATATAAAAGATGAGTCCATGGAATTCTACAGTTGAATTATTGAATTATTATTCAAGGATTAATGCGAATAAATTAATGCAACAAGTAGAGTTCCACCGAAAAAAAAAACTGTTATCACAACATCTTTGTTTAAAATTTAAGTTTCTCCATGAAAAATCGTTTCAATCTCCAAATAGTTCGTGGCTAATGAAAAATAATTTGTTAGTTTAATTAAATTCCAAGGCATTTTCATTTATTTATTTTTTTTTGTGGGAATTCATTCGTTTTTTTACTATCACTAATTTATATTTATACAAAAATTCATAATTAATATTAAAAAAGTGCTCGACAGTAATTTGATCATTTTATGTACATGATAATGTCCTCTATTTCAAAAACAATATAATCAAGTATTGAGGGAGACAGAATTGCATCGTACGACGTAGAAAATACTAGGAACGTCTATCACATGGTATCAGTGAGAGGACAAAGAATTTAAACAAAACCATGTTAAAGAAAATTATAATAAATCAATAGCGGAAAGGGTCATCAGTGAGTAATGAAGAAATACTCAATGGGATTGATTGAGTTGGTTTCAGGGGTTCAAGCTCAATTTCATTACTTTGAAAAACACAATTGAAATTTATTGACAATTTATTGGAATTTTTTCAACCTCTGCGATAGGGCTTAGGCTTGACTTGAATTTCTTCTTGCTGAGACTCTTGGACTTCTTCTTGATTGTTTTTTCCTCTTGTACTACCACCGAATCGACCTCGGACTGGTGCTCTCGTCGTTGATTCATTATTTTTACGTCCTGACGCCCTGAAAATTTAAAATTTTGTTTATTTAATTAAAGCTATTAAAATATCTTTATGTATTGGACAAAAAAATCACATCGAATCAGTTCTTACACGATTTTTTTTCAAACAATGTTTTAATAAATTAAAATTAAAATTTTGTTTTTTTCAGAGAAAACGTTGTCAACCTACAGAAAATATATTATAACATTTTTTTTAATTGATATCGTACATGAATTTACAAAATTAAAAAAATCAGTCATTTCCAATGGAGATGTGCATAAAAAATGGAATTGGGATGTTGATCGTGATATAGCAAAGAGTTTTATGATTCACGAGAAGAATCTTCAAGCATTATTTTTCCAAATGATCTTTCTCTCGAAATATCTCTCGAATTATATCTATAAATTAATATACAGATGCGACAAGAGGATTGTCCTATCGAGTTTTCTGCAAGATTTCTCAGAGAATTCAGACATATCTTATAGGTAATAAAATTTCCTATGGAAAAAATTCCTCTAGAAAATGACGGACATTAAGAAAATCTTCAATTACAATTTCTCAATAAGCAATATATATATTTCCCATAGGCGCAGAAAAAATGGAAAGTCGGCCCATGCTACCGCAATAATAAAAGAGAGGATAGTAGGAGAGGCAAAAATAAGAGAGGATAGTAGGAGAGGCTAAAAAGGCTAAGACGAAGGGGTGCCTATCAAACCATGGTAAGAAAACAATGGTAATAGGAAAAAGGAAAAATGTAAAAATAAAAATAAATATATTTCCCATAGAGAATTTTTCATAAGGTCTTCCTGTAAAGATTCCCAGAGAGAATGCTAAGCAGTGTAAAAAAGTTAACAATCCCATCGTCAATTTTTATCCGTTAATGCTCATTGGAAAATCATCGGATACTTACTTCGCTTTTGATGCTGAAGAATCTGCAGATGCCTGCGTGGTGGGATGCTCTTTCTTGTGTGTGCCAGCTTCAGCCCTTCGTCGTTTGAGAGCAGCAAGGAGATCCTCATTCGATCTAGATAAGAATCAATTAAGACAATTAACTAAATGATTATCGAAAAATATTTAATGAGATTTACTGCTATTTGAGATAAGGGCACATGTAAAAATCTTAGTAATTTAATTTTTCTGATACATTATTATGAATTAGTCTTTAGTGGGAATGATTTAACTATTAATTATGGTTTAATTATCTTCGATATCTTTCTACCTAAAAGGCCTAACTCCTCCAGCACGAAGTTTCTTTGTAGCTTCAGTAGTTGTGGATGGTGCCTCTTCGGGTTCTTGATTTTCATCAACTACCTCTTCACCCTCGTCGAACTCTTCTTCAACTGGTTGCTCAACTGGCTTTGGTGTTGTCGATGCGGGCTGTAAATTAAATTCTATGTATTGCTCGTTCCAGTTGTATGAATCGACGTACCCGACGCTAAGAATTTTTCTAGCTCTCTTTTACGAGGATTTTATGGTAATTCGCAAGTGGAAATATGAAGTCTTCATTGATTAGATCATTATTTAGAAACTAACAGTCTCCAAACAAAATGTCACAAGATTTTATTTGTCAGTGATGGAATTTTTTAATAAAAAAAATTATGGATAACCACTTCCGAAATATTGTGCTTGCCCCAGATCATTTATCGTTTATTAGCAGATTATTTAACGAAATTAAATAACAAATTAAAGGAAAACTATTAATAGCCTAATTGATAGTCTTGGAGACAAAATGTCATGAGATTTTTTTTGTGAATGATGGAATTTTTTTATAAGAAAAATTATGGATAATTACATCCGAAATATCACGCTTACCCCAGATTATTTATCGATTATCAGCAGATTTGTTTGAAAGATAATAACGAATTAATGATAAACAATTAACAGCCAAATTAACAGTCCCAGAATGCTCACACTGGATTTTTCGATTTTTAGGCTTAATAATTATTTCTAAATTGGGAAATATTATTAGAGAATATCAATAGATCATTTTCAAGGAAATTTTCTGCTGTTCTGCATAATTTTCCTTAATATAATATTGCATGAACTGCGATGATAATAAAAAAACCAATAAAAAGAATACGATTCTTGAAATTCTTAGAATTCCTAAGGATTGATAAGGAATTATCAATAAAATTCCGATACCATCGATTTGATGGGTTTATTAAATCATGAATTATGGGAAAAAAATTCTATTTGTGTTGTGAAGTGGTAAACTAGGATAGTTGTATTTTTTTCAAGGCCAGATTAGTCAATAGTGAAGATTTAAACAAAGGGGATAATGATATTTTCATGGATGCCTTTTTTGTAGCTCTCATGATTCTGCAGGGAAAACGTCTACATAAATATATATATATAATATCAACTAAATTTTCTTTTATAAATGAAAATAAATGTATATATATAGTAATATATAGATATACGGATCGAATTTTATTGTTTAGAAAATTAAACAAAAATTTACAGGGCAAGAATCAACAATACAAAAGCTGTTGAGCGATATTTAGAATAAAATAAGCAAGAGAGAATATAATATAAGTGAAAAATTAGTGGATGAAGAAGAAATTAAGAAAGAAATGGAGAAATAGTAATTAGTAAATATACTCGATAAAAGGAATTTTTACTCGATTAAAAGGAATTTCCAACTCTCGTAGGGATTTATGAATATTTATATTTTAGAATATTTCTGGTGAATAGTTGAAGAAATTAAACGAAAAATTATGACTTTCTGTCTGAGATTGTCCGTTTTTAACTTGAGATGGAAATTTTTGAAATTTTGAAAACTTTTCCCGTGCTTAAACGCAGCGTCACGGTTTAGAATTAAAAAAAAATCAACGGCTCGATAATTTTTCAGATAAAAATTGTCTAGGGGAGAAGCCGCATCATTGAATACAGCCAAACAAAAATTACATCGATTGACCGTTTAATTTTTAAGAAATAATAACAGAAAATTGATGAATTTACATAATTAAGAATGGGTTAGAATGAAAAATATGTAGTTATATTCAAGCTATCATACACAATGCAAAATAAAATGAGAATATATACTGTCAAAGGATTGTGCTTTGATCTCAGACAATTTCCAGCGCATTAACTTTTTACAGACTTTTACACGAGAATTGATGAATTATTATTTGATAAGTACTTACAGATGCTTTTCTACCAGCTGGTGCTCGTGCACGTGGAGATAAGAGGCCTCCAAGTCTTCCAGGTCTAGCAGGGGCTGGGGTGACTGGAGCAGGGGCTGGCTCATCCTCATACTCATAATCCTCTTCTGACATGCAGCCAGCTATTAAACATAGCCCCAGTAATCTGCAACATCATTAAAGTCATGAATTTATAAACGCTGTGGACTTCTTCAGAAAGCGGTTAACATTTTTATAAAGACAAAAAAATGTACATCTTAATGTAAAATTCTTTCATGCACTCGTTGCGCCTGTCACGCCTGTACCACTAAGTGGATTTTTGACCTGTGACATTCACGTATATAGTCGCAGAGACTCACTTTCTCTGGGTAGTTCATCACACACGTAAGTTACCGCGATTAATTTTGTTTTAACAATAAAATTTTCACAATTGAAAATGTCATTAAAATGTGAGGGAAATTCTACATATTCTGCATCATTCCCTTCATTATTATTTTATATCTCACAGTTGTTTCAGCTTCAGTCGGATTTTAATGCGATATTATGTGTCGATATTGTTGTTTAACAACAATATCTCGGTTAATAAAATAAAATATGAGAAATTTGTCCGTTCAAATTTCAGCTTTTTCACTTCTATATTTGACTAAAATTAATTTTTCATTGGTAAATCTTCTGCTAGTTTCGGCTTCATTAATTATCAATATATGAAAATAATTAGTTAATTAAGGAGTAGGAATTTTCGTGGAATAAAAGATTCTTGGAGTTCGGTAATTCCACATGGAAAAAATATGCAGAAATATATCTTAGTTATATCCGGATATATTTCTCACACATTTTGACAAAAAAATTCATTATCTGACATGTTTTTGATATATCTGTGCAGATATATGATATATTGGAGGTATATTTGCGGCAAAAAATGACATCTCAGTTATAATTTTTGGATTATACATGTATTATATATTTTTCATGTGGTATGTCCATAATTAGTAATTTTAGAGGAGAAATTAAGGGCAGATAATTCTGGTGATTGTGGATTGCAAAATTTTCTGTCAATAGTCTGGCTGTTTCTCCTGAGGTTCCTCATATAAACTTGCACTAAGAGAAAATCTTCGAGGAGATTTCAGTACTATTCAAGGAATTTTTTTTTTGCTATTTATAACGCAATTTATAGTTTTCTAGGAAAATTTCTCGGGATGTGAAGGTGAATATTTAAAATCAATGATTGAAAAATCCACGTGATACTCAATATAATTTCTAGTACCAGCAGTGAATTATCCCCTAGTTGTTAATTCACATCTCCTTTCCCGTGCCAGCACTAGAATTTGTCTCAAGAATTTTCCTCCAGGTCGTACACTCATAAAATAATAAAAAAATTCTAAATAATTATGAATTTTATATAAATACGGCACTTTTTCTAGACACATTTAATGACAATTGTTTAGATGAATCTTGCTGACACATATTTTCCTCAAGCTATGAAGTTTTTGTTTCAATTTATTGTTTATTTTCCATCATTCCAATTTATTGAGTCCAGAAAAATCTCAATATATATTTAATTCCTAAAATTTAATTAATAAAATAGGAAATTGCAGTTAAAATTGAAATTGACTTACGAAATTCGACACAATGCTTTTAAATATTGACAACTTAATAAATTATATATCAACTGATTATTTCGATCTTCAAAGTTTTTATTAATCCAATCTCAATCCGTTTACAACGATTTCATTTTTTGCATCGACATTCTTCTAAAATTACACTCGACATTTCAAGTGTAAACATTAAAAATTTTAAATAATTCTTCGTTAAAAAAATATTTAATTTCTTGAATACTCTTCTAATTCTATTTCCGTGCTGATATGACACCGAACAAACGTAAAAGTGTTGAAAATTCAAACAACAAAATAGAAGGTTTCATTGAAAAATCAATTGATGTTTGACTTGAACTCGGATTTTTTAAATTGTCAAGACAATTGCGACATTTAATGATGATTGTTAATTGAAATATAACGCAAGCTCATATTGGAAATTCGGATAACTCGGTAATTGACATTTAAATAAATTTTCAACAGTGTAAATGACATAAATGTCAGTCTTCCAGAATCTCTTCATAACTATCACTTGCGTAACTGAATTGGTTAACTTTTTAATTCACTCAAACTTGAGAATTTCGATTGTACTAAACGCCCAAAGATTTAATCACGTGAAGAGATTGTTTGAAACATGCAACATCACCAGTGAAAGTGAAAAATGATAGTCACATGAGTGGGGCATGAATCAATTCATTTGGAGCAATCAAACATTCAGAAGAATTAAGAAATCAAATCGTAGGATTTATACTGAACACCTGAATGATTAATAGGTCAGGTTCACAACGTCAAATTCAATATCATTTCCATATCACCAATTAATCCCTGATATTGTAATTTACACAAGTCTGTGCAGAAAAAAAAAGCTTTTGGCATTAATCTAAACTTTCCCGAAACTTTCTGCATCTCATTCGGACTGGAAATGGCTATCACATCCGATAATTTACCATTTTTACGTTTCATTAACGATAAACATTTATACAGCTTTATTATCTTTCGATTATCTATTGATATTAATTTTTTTATGTGAAAGATAGTAGATAAAAAATTTATTTTCCACGGCGAAAAGAATGAAATTCGCATAATGGAATGCGAAAAGTCTTCACAACTTTAACATATCGTTTATTTAATTAAATTCACACGGGAACAATAAAAATCGTGATTAAAAATTGTTAATTTAAATGAGTTCCAATTCAAATTAGCCGCCTCAGACGTCTAAACCAATGAGGAGTAAGCCTGACAGACTTTCGAGATATCGATAGTCTCGATGTTTATCCTTTTTAGAATAGGATTAATTTTTTTATGTGAAAGATAGTAGATAAAAAATTTATTTTCCACGGTGAAAAGAATGAAATTCGCATAATGGAATGCGAAAAGTCTTCACAACTTTAACATATCGTTCATTTAATTAAATTCACAGAAGAACAATAAAAATCATGATTAAAAATTGTTAATTTAAGTGAGTTCCAATTCAAATTAGCCGCCTCAGGCGTCTAAACCAATGAGGAGTAAGCGTGACAGACTTTCGAGATATCGATACTCTCGATGTTATCCTTTTTAGAATAGGAAGGATTAGATTTTAGAAAATTCATAGATCTCTTTAACTCTTGTATAACGCCCCAATTTTTATCTAACATTATGAAATATCGTTGAGACCTCTGTAGGCTTATGCCATAATTATCGAAATCAATAAAAAATAACAAAACCTAGAGATTGCAACTACAATGTGTATTTTCAATCAAGAAAAAATTCTCACGGAAAAGTCATAAACACTTTCTATTTCTCTTCTTATTATATAGAGTATAGAATATAATAGACTGTTGAATGAAGTTTATGACTTTCGAAGATTGTTAATGGCTAATCGCTAATGGCAAATTTTCAATCTTCAAAATCCTTTAAATACTCAATTATTTTCATTAGCACTGAGTGATATAATTAATAGCTGGTACGTTGTACATATTTTTAATGAAAACAATTATCAGCATTCTTCGTGCTATCGGAATTTCAAGGCAACATGAACACTAAAAATTTCAATATACCTAGATTTATCGAGAACAATTCTGTATCGTGTAGGCTTTCAACGAGCTTGCATACTAATAATCATTTCCTGGTTTTCCATCACTTACAAGTTGAACGAGAGAGTGTTTTGCATAACTCCTTCACTAACTTTATAATCGTTATTGACTAGTCGTGCAGGAAGACACGTCCATTGGCATTATCACGGTACCTTTCTGCTTTTTATTTTCTTTATTTTTTCCTAGGCGTAGTTTAGCATTACAACGGTATGTACCTTCACCATTGTCCTCTACGTGAGAAGAATTTTATCAAGAATTTCTAGATTAAAAAATGCGAGAGTAAGGAAATCCCAGAATTCGCTGTCTCATAAATCACTGTCTCGAAAATTTCGCACTGATTATTTCCCAAAAACCACTCGCACCTAGTCGTTTAATTATTTATAATAATCAATGACCACTGATAATTGGTATTTATGGAAAATTTGTGATTATTTATTTATAAGTGAATCTAGGGAAATGTAAAGTAACCGGTAAAATGGCAAAATTCAATTGTCAAAATTCTTCTTGGTAAATATATTAATAAATCTCTTGCAGGATCTTTCACTCTAGAAAATAATGACCGCTGTTGAACATTAGCTCTATAATATTCTCGTTTCATAGTAACAAAAGCATTCTCCCGATAATCTCACTGGTATCAATTTTTTCAAGGATTTCAATCGCAATTGAAGTCCACAAGGACTTCTCACACATATCCCATAAACCGGCAGACCCACGTCGCGTGATTTTAACTAAAAACCACTTTCCAATTTGCTATATACCATATGTTTTCACTCTCAATGCATTCACGCGAGGATTATTTATACTTACGATGATATTAATTACTTAATCTTCAGCATTACCCCAGAGTAGTCAGAGTAATCTTGCGATTAAAATGAATAAATTGTCCTTGTGCACTTGATTTTTAATTACAATATCTCAATTGAATGAGATATTGCTATTTTCAGTAATTCCGTAAAAAAATAGAGTGGGGAAAGGGGACAAAGTGGAACAGTCGTGGAGGAATAGTTTCATCGAGGATATAGTATTGATTTGAAAAAAAGTTATTAGTGATTATTGATTAGTGATTGGTGTGTACTTACATGATGAATGAGAGCCTCATGTTTCTCCCGATGTACTTCAATGAATGAAAAGTCAGCAACAACTGCGGTGCACAAAATTCCAACGTCGAGGTAGTTGATATTAAAAAAAGGAATTAAAAGGAGAAAGAGGCTGAAGCACACCACCACTGCAAGCGCGGAGGCTGTACTTTCGAGTGGCGTGTCGTGTTTCCCCTTCTCTCAATATATATGCTCTCCACGCTCACCAAACATTTACAAACTAATACATTTGTATTATCCAGTATTTTTAGTTCTCCACAAATTTACGAGTTGTTTGACCGTCTTTGAACCTTCAGCGATTGTCCTGATCCTTGCGGTTATTTTTACCCACTGATCATCCGGGCATTCAGAAGAAATTTCGATCCTTTGGGTCATTGCGCTCCAATGCACTCTGGGAAAATTACACTTGACGGTTCTAGCTGAATGAATTTTATTCAATCCGCCTATCATCTATTGTCCACCTCCATTTTTAGCAAAATTAGAGATCACGAAAAATTACTTTTTTTTTTTATTGTAGTCAAATCAATAGAAGATATTTAATATTTTATAGAAATGATTGAGAAATTATCTGCATGTTAGGAGATTAAACAAAATGACGACTTTTGAAATAATTGAATGCATTTTAAGGGGTTACATGGGTTCCCCAGTTTGAAAAGATCGATTTTTTTTGGTTTATTCATTTTGACGACATGTCTAGGATATTGTTAAAGAATTTTAAATCGACTGTAAAAGTAAAAAGTAAAAAAATTCCGCTCCCATACCAGCCTTTGGTGGACTATTGTCTATTTTTGAAATGAAGGATTTTTTAAAATCGTTATCCGTCTCACATTTTTAGCAACCTTCCTCATCATCTGCTAGGAATACTCACTAATTTTTTATCATTTCCCCTCAGTTGGAGTTTAATTGTACAAAGATTTGGATAACTATCCAGTAGTTCTCGTTCTTTATGAATCTATGCGAGGTTTGACCGTCTTCGCACCTTCAGCAATCGTCCTGATCCCCGAGGTGATTTTAACGTACCGATCATCCGCGTCTTAAGAAAGAATCGAATCGAATCGATCCTTAGAAATCGATCACTCTTAGAAAATTACACTTGACATTTTAAGCTAAAAGAAATTTGTTCAATTTCTCTTATCATTCTCCATTTTCATCGCCTTAATTTTCCATAATTTCTCTTCATTTGAAGATCAAACGTACAAAGATTTAGACACCTATCAAGTCATAAGACTTGAAATTTTTAACGATAAAATCGCATAGAATTTCTGGAGGGGTTAATTCAGCGGTCATTTTCTATTTTCTGGTCAATACGGATTTGGTAAACCTTAAAAACTTAAAAAATTGCAATTATTCATTTCGTGGAGTTCACGGTCTGCTGAAAACTATTTGATATTTGTTATGAGTTTAAAAAATTCAGTCGTTCCGTTGAAAAATCGATGATCGGTGCCATGAAAAATCCCAATTTTTTCACATTCAAGCTTTTCATTAAACAATATCAATTAATTATTGGAAGGTAATTGCCTCACAGATAGAATAGTGAGATCCCACCATTTTTAAAGTTTTGATCAATCGCCACATAGTCATGACTCGAAGCGATATAAAATAAATAGTTAAAAAAAAAATCATTGGAAGTTCAGACGACCATGTGACTGAAATTCCCAAAAGTTGCTGATAGTGTAAATCGAATAGTTTATTATCATACCAGTTTGAAAAATAACTCCTGATGGATGTGCAGGGGTATAATGACATTCACCAGAAAGTACACGTTTTCACATGTATCGTCCAAAATTTTATGACCCAACATGGAAAAAGCATTTTTATTCACTTGTACCACAAGAAATTTTACGGAAAAATCTGAAACGTTTCACTAAAAAAAATACGAAAAAATTCCGTAATTTTTCTGAAAACTGTAAAACCTCTCAGGAATTCCACGAATTATTATTCAATTTCTATCATTTATACCTTCTTCTGTCTTTTAAATATCCCTCCTCTGATTGACGCACATTCATTTATTATTATTTCATTTTTATCTTTCTCCTGACATATAAAATATTACAATATCTACACCTTAATCTAAATAATTAAAAACCTAGAATTTTTTGTAACATTCCGTAAATCTTACCTGTCCTTTCAAGTCATTTTTACGATTCGCGTCGCGGGAGTGGATAAAAAATCGGAATCGTAGTCTCCGAATAATATACCTCGGGCCGAACGGTTTTAATGGTTTGAATTAATGAGTTTATCTTATGAATATCGTTAAAAAATAGTTAATAATCGTTCGAGCTTAAACATTTAAAATGGTTTCATTTCCGCCTCGTTCTATCCGAGTACAAATGACGCCAGTCTCACAAAGTCTTTATGAGGTTGCTAGATTGGAATGTAAGGTCCTCATAGGGTTGCCTGCTGAGGTCGAGATCAGGACTAAAATATAATGGTGAGCTGAGGTTTTTATCTGGCGAACATTATCAGGTCTTTAAATAGTTTACTTTGCCCTTACGGCAACGAAATAGGGCTCTGATCAGTTTCGAGACTACGATTTCCTGACCAGGACCTTGAAAACGAGGCGTAATGTCAACCTTAGCAGGTAAGCCTGATAGCAATTAGTCCTGATCAGGTGTCCACCTGGTAAACCTGAAAGGCGCATTTTATAATTTTATTAATAGTTATGGCTCTCCTGAAGTGCTGAATTCACGTGAATATTGAAACGCTGGAAATTTTTATTCGGAAATTTTTCTATCGCTAGGTATCTTATGTGGAACATACCGGCAATAATTTCCATCGAACAGATTACGGTTAGAGGGATAGTATATTTCGTAACAAGTGCGGAAGAGTGATTTTTGGCGTCTGAGAGGTTAATAGCACCAGACGAAAGTGAGTAATATAATCCTACATGCTAAAAATCACTTTCTGCCCGAGTTGCGGACTAGTATATTTAACAAGTACGGAATAAATTTTCTGGCTCGTGGGAAGGTTGTAACACGGCCCTAAGGCGAGTTTTATAATTCCACGAGTCAAAATAGTATTTTTTATGCCTAGGACGGAAAAAGTGAATCTGACGAATGCGGCTTTAGGGAGGTTAAACGAGGTTAAGAAACGCGTTTTACCGTCCGCGATGACATAAAATCCATAACGCACGTGTTTCGTACACTATTTTATGTGTTTGGGCCCGTAATCCGAATTTCGCGAAAAATTCTCGTGTTACGAGGAAAAAATTCAAACACATTCGGGGAGTAGTTGTGTCCTGTATATTATACGCGACAGCATCGGCCTGTGACGTCACACCGACAAAACGTCCACTTGGCCGATACGCTGTCGTGTATCTTGATTCTGTCGAGCGAAGTGAGATTAGAACCGCATGATTACGGGCACCTATGACATAAATTATTTTTCTTCGCAATGGGCAGGAAAGTGACTTTTTAATTCACAGTTGAGAAATAAAAATGTCATATCTGTCAGTTTGTCGTGGAGTTAATTTGACTAGATAATGGTTTTATTTTTTATATAGCGACTACCAGAGAGAATCATCAAAAAATCATCAGTAATAATAATAATAATACCATGTAGGTTGTAGTGACGTCGAATGGTGCAATTCTATTGGTCGATATTTGCGTTGGAAAAATAATCAACAGTATTTGTTGGTTTTATAATTGATTTATATCTCCAGATCAGAAAATGTGAATGAATGAGTCATTAAACATACAAAGAAAATTATCCCTCTTTTCAATAAGCCTTTATTGATGAGTGCTATTAATTACTTGTTTAAGGAAACGTGGATAACTTACTCGTTTCTTACTACAACGATCGGTGAGTTCTTGAAGATAATAAAATCATCAATGATATTTACCTCCTTTTATATGTCCATAAATCAATCAATAATGTTCCGTTATGTACTCGTGATTATTGAATAATTTCATCATTTCATTGAAGAACTCTATTCTATCATGGTCGAGAGAAATTGAGGGACACTGAAAAAAAAAAATTCTAATGCCAGATAAGTGGTATTGTGCTTAAGATTGTTGTCGTGTAAAATATTTACTTGGCAGTTTTTGTTTAAATTTTTATGGCGAATAGTTAAAAAGGATGTAGCTGGAGAATAATCACTTTCTGTTTGTGATTGTTCGTTTTGAATTTGAGAGGGAAATTTGTGAAATTCAGGGAATTTTTTTCACGTGAAATCACGAGAAGATATAGCACAATCAGTCGCTTCATTCACTTCAAATAATTATATCCTATAACACATATTTCATTTTATTTCATCATTTAATTTATTTGACATTTAATTAGATATAGTATACATTCTTCACAAAAGAAATGTTTTATATGTTCTAAAGAGCCTGTGAGAAATGATTATTGAAATAATAGATATGAATAATTACGCCAGTGGTAAATTTTCTAATTGTCAATGGTAATTCTGAAAAGAAATGAATTGCATGGGTAATGTTTATACTTGTAGATCAATCATCCATGTTGAATATCCAAATTCTAGTAGGCATGCGCAAAATTTTATAAGTCGTATAAAAGTGGAAGGGAGAGAGGAGGGAATCGAAAACGTAAGTTAGTGAAAGTAAAAGATACAGTCACTCGATGAATATATCTTGCTCAAAGGTACTAAAGAATGTGCAGTGTCCCTCATGTCTGGAGCATTCATTTTGACAACGAAATTCTTCACAAGTTATAATCATCCGAAAAATTACAGAAGATACATTCACTATTAACTGCGCCCGTTTAATCGACATTTGGGATATTATCCCGATATTTTTACACAATTCCGTTCGTATATGAAATCATTGGGACTCAATATTTTTATTTATTATTCAATCAATTCCGAATTTACGTAATTTTGGAGGATATTATTGCAAATGAGGTAATACTGAATTATTATCGCGTAAAGTAAATAAACTGCGCTCGAAAGACACATCCGCTTCTTCTTAATTCCAAATATTTTTCTATTTTAGCGATGTTTTTATTGCATTTTTATTTATACGAGATCTACTGCGCACCCCGTGCGGCGAATTTGAATTTGGCGGGCCGAGTTGACCAATGAGAAGTTAGTCCTGCGCGCTTCGAGATATTTCGACTCGGGCGAACTTCATTCTTGTGTTTCTACTTTCATAATAAGGACTAGCACTAGAGGCCTGACAAAACGTTTGTGAATTATGATCTATTTTTAATTCAATGACAACAAATATGCAATAACAAAAAATTAATAAAAAATTGTCATTTCTTATAATCTCTATAACATGTTTGCTTTTTAAAATTGATTAAATGGATTAACTAGAACATAATATTAAATATTCAGCAACGAATAATTCAGAAAAAATCTACAGTGAAGCAAGATGAAATTGTCGGTTGATTATCAAATAACTTGGAAACTAGTTTTATCCTTCTCACAAGTTTGCTGAGAAATAACCATCAAATGTGGAAAAGTTATAGAAATTTTGTAATTAACGAATTCTTTCATACATTTCAACAGACATTTGTATCCAAAGATGTAAATGAATCCGTTGGAAAAAATGATTGGAAATGATTGGATGTGCAGTTACTCGGTATGTTGTAATGATGATAAAAAAAATTACCGATGGATAATGACCGGAGATTTATCACTTTGAGCTCCTGCTCGGCTGCAAAATATTTATTTTTATTTGGGTAAGCAGGTTATAAATCATTGCCTGAGGATGAAGATGCAGGTTTGACCTTCGTTATGAGACGAGTGTCTCTTTATAAGGATACGACCGGCTTTTTCAATTTTATCGGTAATGGAGCCTTTTTTTTCCAGTTATATATTACCAATTTCTCCCGTTTATTTAATTAATACCAAATTTACGATACGTTACTATAAATATGTTAACAACAAATTAGCACGAAATATTTGCCGTTTCAGACAATTACACTTGAAATTTCCAGTAACAAAACTTGAATTTTCTAATAAATATTAATCGACGAATCACTCATTCTCTTGAATATTCTTTTAATTATCCATTTTCAGATCGATATAGTACAAACAAAACCGTAAAAATATTGGAAATTCAAGCAATAATTTCCCTGAATTTTCAGTCAATCGAAAATTCAATTATTATTCCATCCTTAATTCTCTGGAATTCTGAGGATAAATAAAAAATGTAATGACTGTTGTTAATTGAAATCAACTGCAAGTCCATAATTAACAATAATTTACATTACACTGATAAAAAAATTGAAAAACTCCGAGGAATTTGGAACTGAAATTTCCATTAACAAATAGATTATTTTATTTATATTCTTAAATCCAGGAGGATTACAATTAAATTATTTGCTGATAATAAATCATTAATATTAAAAGGCATGATTATTTTGTTTGTCTTTTTTTACTCCATCTCGAAGAATTAAATATTATGCAATGTAGAAAAACCGCAAGACAAATTCAGAGAAAGAATTTTTAAGCAATAAAAACAACTGTATAAAATAAAACCGATGATGTGGATAAATTAAAAACCGTGATGATGATGTTGGACACATTGAGCTCATATATCGCTCCAGGCGAGTTTATCACGGACTTAATCGATTTTAGTGCATCACTCCGAGAGGCAAACAGTCAAGGTAAATAAGTGAATAAGAGTTCTGATTTTTAATTCACCCACAAACAGGTCCTGGAATGTTGTCCAATTTTCGGCAACTTTCGGCAACTTTTGGCGTCGAGTTTACGGGAATAGTTTACGAACTTTACGCTAAATATGCAGACCTGCAAAATGCCAATAATTTCCATAATTTCCTATTGAAAAGTATTTTTGAAAGGACTTTTAATAAATATAATTTCACTTTTAGGGTAATTCGATTTCACCAGAATTTCAAATGAACTTAAGACCCGGGTGGACTATCTATCGAACGTCGACTTTTGTTTAAATTTTATCTTTTTAACTTAAAATACATTAAAATTTGGGATCGATTTTGTGTTGCGAGAAGCATTTGAATGGACATGAAAAAGAAATGAAAAAAAAGAGGAAAAATTATAGAAGGGCGCTAAAGATCGATATTATTTAAAAGGAATTTACCAAGTTTGCTACAAAAATAATAAAAAATACGTAGCTTACTATTGCATCCACCTGTCACTCAATCTCCTCGAGAGCAATGGTAAGCTGCTTAATTTTTATTATATTTTTGTAATGAATTTCTTTAAATTTTTTAGTTACAAGTGTCATATGTTTAAATATTTTGTAATTAGTTTTACGATAGGTCTGTACTCTTCTTTGCCGGTCATCGAAATAGAGATTCTCATTCATATCTCAGTCGCTGAAAGGTTGGCTGTTAATAAAGAAATGACAAGAGTAAAAAAGATATTGAGGAATCCTACATTACCTGATCCAGACGTTCATGTAATTACCAGGAGCAATCAATCATTAATTTTCTAATGAAAATCAACGCAGATGACTTGGAAATCGCTTGGTCGAGTTTAAGAATACGATCTTATCATTTGGAAAGGAGTGATTGACTCAGGACTAATTACTCCATGTGGCGTACAATTTTCATGACTAATTGTTGATCGAACTGATTTGAATCGATTCAACGTCAAGTGAAAACGCATTGATATAAACTTTGGTAATTAACAATTGTTCGCTATTCCATTATTTTCGATAAGAATTGGCAAAGATATGCAAGGACTTCTCGAAGGATATGCAAAGTATAATGAAGTGTAACGAAGAATTGACAGAACTTGTTATCGGGTATGAATTTTCTTTATTCAATAGTTATAGAACAGAGGAGAAATTCAATACAAATAACTGAAAGTGTTAAAGTTGGTGGCGCACGGCAATGTCTGTAAAAAGTTTATGTCTTGGGAAATATCTTGGGCCGAGATTAAAATACGATCTTTCGACAGCATCTAGTCGTACTTGATTAATTGCATTGTGTATGGACAGCTAAAATATAACTATATATGTTCCGTTCTAAGTACTCTTAATTAATCTATGTAATATATAATGTATTCAATAATGCAGCTTCCACCGTAAACCATTTTTATTTGGAATATAATCTGCCGTTAAGATAAACCCCCAATAACCGTTGATTTAAAAAAATGTAATCCGTGACTTTTAAATACGTGAAAAGTTACAATAATTTTTCGAATCTCAAGTTCAAACGGGCAACCTGAAACGGAAAATCATCACATTACATCTACTTTTTTCAATTATTCATCGTAAAAAATTAAACAAAAAGAGTTTTACGTATTAAGGATTCCCGACAAACAATTAAAAGAAATTCGCGTTTTTTTTTTAATTTTTCTGGCAAATCATCGATGGAATTGAATGATGAAATTTAATGGTCTCACGTTTTGTCATTATTTAATAGTTCACGAGATTTCGTGGTGATGCAATCATTTTCATGCATTTTTTTCAACTGTTTTGTGATTGTTTTAAAACTTCAGAAAAAACGTAGGGAAAATTTTGAAAAAAATTGAATTTTGTCGAAGAGTTTGCGGAACATCCCCACATTTTGATGCATCAAATGCAGATTTTATTTTGGGTTGACTCTGGGCTTACGGAAATTAATCCGTCTCTCTCTGTTATCTGTAGGTTTTTTCCATCAATCCAGAGTTAACCGTGAATTAACCCTGAGTCAACACTATGTTTGATCTATCAAGGAAATGACGTGCGAATATACACATCAATAATCCCCATAACCATTTAATTGCTATTTATGTAAAAGACTGAACTACTCAGCTGTTTTAATTATGAAGAAGACAACGCATATATGCCGTGTCTCATTTTCTCCCTATATTAAAAGACCACGGGGTTTTTCATTTGTTAGTGCTAATTGACAGTTAACCACAGTTTCTGCGCACGCATCTGAAAACTATGGCGACGTCTCACAAAACCTAGTGAAGGAGCATGAGAGCGCGTCGAATTCAAATATGAGTGATACTCCTTGAAAAAAGTAATTCCTGAAAAGTTGGGAAAATTTGGAGAAAAGTTCGGAACGCATTTCGTCAATATTTGAATTCAATAGGAGTCTTATAACAGGAATACGAAATAATTGAGAAGTCACCCACTTTCTTCGCTATTTTAAAACTAGGATCACTCAATTGGTTCCCACAAATTCATGAATATTCAACTATTTTTATAGTGCGGTGTTTTTATGCTTTGTTTATTTTTATTACAACGTTTGAATACGAAATAAATGTAGTATTCTGGAAAGAAAAAATCAGATGTAAATAATTTGGAGATCAACGATTGGTCGGGACAATATTCCAGGAGTGGGAGTAGGAGGGGAGGGGGTAAAACGAGTGGGGGAAGATGAGGAGTGGGGAGGATGGTATAAAGAGGTAGTCCGCAACAGCAGAGATCATTCTCCGGTTTCCTCCAGCAATAGCAACATGGAATTCTTTGGAAAGCTGATGCGCCTTATTGGTGTATGCAAACCTGAATTTAATCCAGTTGTAAGTCTGCCAGTGGAAATAACCCAGAATATTTTCAGGATGTTAGATCCACGCTCACTCCTGAATGCGGCCCAAGTATCCCGCCAATGGCGTGATGTATGTCGCGGTGATCATCAATTGAGAGCCACCGCCAGGCGTCACATCAGAAGGGAGAAAAGGCGTGCATACGGCGTAGTCGGTAAGCCTCGTTCTAAGCCGTTCAAGATAACAGGCCCCACCACATCTGCGGTACCTGGTATTAAAGCTGCCCCGGTTATCTTTGCTTTCGGCCCTTCTGGCATTTGTGCCGGGCAAGTCAAAGCCCAGAGCGCTAAACGACGCGGTCGTCCCTCCTCAAGAACAGGGATGGCAAAGAGTATTCTTAAGTTTAGGTAAATATGAAGTAAGGTAGATGTATATTATTAAGTTAGAGATTGCGGGCCCGTTATCTAACTATAGAATTTACTGTACCTTTGTTATAAATGTAAAGTTTGGTAAACGAAATTTTAATAAAGATTTTTTTTTGATAAACTCTGTCTTGAATATTTTATTTAAAATACTTTTAATGTCCGATAAGTAAATTTCAGGACAGTCCAAGTAATTGATTACTGGCCCAAAGGATTACCGTTCAAAGTTTTCTCGTTTTTGAGAGGAAAACTATCTTCATTGCTGATGGATTTAAGCGACTTGCAAATAAGTTGTGGATTGGAAGTATGCCGGGCCCTGGTCTCGACTACACGCAAACAAAAAGTTAAACAAAAAACGTGACAATTCCGTAATTCACAAGTGAGAGTAGACTTCCAATAAAAATTGCGGAACGCCGGTAAAAGATCACGTGGACGTAGCGGCTATGAGCCCCAACGACAACACATGTTGATACATTTAAAGACCAGAGACAACACAAACATGTAATATTGTTTACCCACGCAGAAGCAGCACCTCTCACCAAGAGGGTAATTAATCACATTTCACGTTAACACAGATGGATGATATCAGTGTAAACACGCCGCGGCTCTTTCAGCAGCATTTCTGTAATTTAAATTGAGAGTTTGAAGTTATTGTTTAAACCTATATCATCCGTGTACGATGGCAGATCTGATATCAAGACGCCGTGCCATTCTCTCAGGGCATGGAATACTTCTCTTAAACATGATCTCTTCATGCTTGTCGACCCGCGTTCCTATCACTACTGACTTATCTAACACTCAGTGTCTTCATCTTCTACTCAGTCTTTCATGTAAACATTAGTAGAATTAGTAGAATTTCAGTATTAAAATTTCTGGCGGAGAGTGGAGGGGGGGGGGGGTTGTTTAAGTAGGTTGTTCTGGATATTTAGCATTTTTTTCGAATTTTTCAATAGTTTTGGAATAATTTTTCATAGCTAAAAAATCAGAAAATTGAAAGGGATGATTTCTGGACCAAAGTGACCGAAATATGGATAAAAATTTTGAATTAGTATGCACGTATTAATTATCATAATAATCAATGGAAAAAATTGGTGATACATTGGCACCCATTCCGCGTCATTTTGTTTGGATTAAATTTACATTCTGATTGCAAATTCTATGGGTTATAAAGATGTCTTGACCTTTCCATATGACTTCAACCCACTTATTGTACAGCTTTCTTTTTCTTCAATTGCTTAATTAATTTCTCAATTTCGATGACAATTGCCGAATTGACATGATGTCTCTTATTTTCTTGATTTTGGTTAACAATGGCAGTTATTAGCCTACGATACAATTGATACCAGACCTTTAAAAGTAATTGAAATGCACCGCCATCACTGTTTCTCATTACAATTCATGTGCGTCCTTGAAAAATAAGGAAATAAGAAGGAGACAAGAACGGATGACACGAAGTGAATACATGTCAATCCGTTAAAAGTATTCCGAGGTAACGTTAGTCATGGTTCTCCAAGTCTTGTCATTACTATTGCCCATCTTTTATTCGATAGGAAAAAGTTAAGAGAAATATCAAACACAAAGTGAAATGAATACTTAAAATATTATATTCAAATATTGTTTTTCAGAGAAAACAATTAATGACCATAATTCTAAAATACAAGGATCAAATATAAAATCTATCTATTTCAAGAATAACGCGAATATTTCAAGCAAGTATAAAGTATACTTGATTCAAGTTTCTCTTCGTGCAGTTGGAAGGGTACCCAATGAATCATCGAAAGGCCCCGGGTTCAAATCCTAGTTTGGATTATCTATTTTTGGCAATAAACATTCCGGGGAAAATTTTTATTGAGAAGATTCCCTGATCCAAATCCATTCCAATGGTATGTGACGTCACAAGATCGTGAAAGATTAAATAAATCTTCCTCGGCTGATGTATCCGAAGTCACCCAGTGAAGAAAAGAAAAGATTTTTGGTTCCTTGTGTTCGTCCTTCAATTATTGCGAGATAATTACTGATTACCAATTACTAAGATCGTGGTCTTAGACTTTGTGAGTTAACTAAGCTTCTTTTCGAGCAATATTAATCGACACAATTCTTTATGGAGAGTCTCGTTAATCAGTGTAAAGGACATATCCATCAAATCAATAATATAAAATTGATGGGCATGACAGAATGCGTCGTTGAATGATGGCAATCAGTCAAACAGACATTTAAACTTAATACTACAAGAAGAAGATTAAACGAATCGATCACAACCGACTGTGTTGGCCTTCGAGTTCATCTCATTATCAATTATTCCAACCATTTTGTCAGTTCTCAACATTTAACATTCAATATTTCAACGACTGCAGAAAATGTGCAATTATAAGTATAAATTATTGAATATTATAATTTTTTTATTTTTAGAAATTATTATGTTAAGTTTTAATTATTTTTTTTTTATTTTGAGGACCTTTGGACAATTTAAAGTTTTATTTTTCATTCTATTTCGCGGTTTTCAGGTATCCAAAATATCTTTATGTACCGCCCACAATAAATTTTTATTTGGATTCTTCGAGAGTTTGCAAATCAAATTCCAATTTTTGAAATTCCCATAATATTCTCGGTGAATGTAATCATTATTAATTATAAATTATTATTGAGAGGATTCATACAAGACTTCTAATCTCAACGCCAGGTCCAAATTTCCCCGAATTTTCAGTAAGAAATAGATATGCGATATTAGCTAACGTTTCAAACAGATATAAAAAGAATGGTGAATAAAAATCGATCACTAAATAAAATACTACAACCGACGTAAGACGAATAACATTTTAATTATAGATTACTTATACCGGCGGTAGTGGCCATACGGTTAGAGCAGAATAGAATAGAGCATTCAGCAGAAAAAAAATTTTTTTTTTAAGCACTTAATAGATAATGATAGCAAGAAGTACTTGCAGGAACAATATCTTAAACGAATAAATAAATATTGCTTACATAGCAAACACATTAATATTAAAAAAAAAACTCGAGAGCCTCCACAGGCCAATAGTTTCAAGTTTAAATAAAATACTCGTAATTTGCTTTTTATACTAGTTTTTAAGGTCGTAAATAATGTATATACCCATTCTTATTGCAATAAAAAAATTTGGTTAAGAAAAAAACAAAAAAGATGTGCTAGACTAGCATGCCAATGATTCGGGTTCGATCCCCGACACCAGTTCGCACTGGTTCTCAAAAATTTATAGCGCTCTAATCTCACAGTTTCACTGTCGAACGGTAGTCCTGTCAAAAGAGCGACTGTACCAGCGTAGGTTTTTCCCCTCCACTGAGGTTTCTCCTCCCTTCGGCAAACGCGGTACAACGGGTTGGGGAGTGGCAAAGGAACAAATCGTAAAAGCCCGATAGGGTATACGAGGGGAAAAAATCAATTATTATAGATTACTTATAAATCTAAATTGAACTGATGTGACCTCTTCGTGATATTTGCTGCAAGTTAAACATTTATTCAATTCAATATATTCATATCTTTGACATTTTTCGACTAGCCTTTCTGTTTGAGAACTAACAGAATATTCAAGATTGAATTTTTCTTAAAAAGCTTTGAATTCTTCATCGATTATTCCGCGTTGCAGGTAAAATAAAATATGAGAACAAAATAGAATGTACAGCACAATTTGAAATTGTTCAATGTCAATAATTCCTTGGAAAATTCTTCACTCAAAATCTATTCTCTGGCAGATTTGAATGGCATTATTAGCATTCAATAATACAGTGAAATAAAACAATCTAAGACACAGAGAAAGGATTAACTATCATCGTGAGTTACTTCTCATGTTGCCGGAAAATATGTGACATATTCATTCCATATCTGGTATATCATAACCTTTATAAAAGTCTCATAAAATTTCATTAAAATGGTTAGACTTCTGTATTCGGCGATTTTTTTAGGTATGGAAGACAACAAATTGGATATTTCAAAGATCTTTAGGCTCTCTTTACGGTAGAAAAGTTTAAAAAAAAAATTATGAAGATTTAAATATGAAAATATTAGGGGAATAACTTTAGATGCAAGAGGTAATGGATGGTAATGGATGTACTGAGTATCACTCGTACCCAAAAATCAGTCTTCGATAAATATATTGACATTGAAAGAAAGTAAACGATTTTTTGTAACAACATTGTTTGGTGAGTTACTCGGATCATTGGATTATGGAGAGGAAACAGTAAACAATAAAACGGATTTAGCTTGGACTTTAACTTTTTATTAAACGCACTCAGAAGGTATATCATTCTCCTATGACCTCTCCAGTTCAACTGACTCATAGCAACCAAAGTTTTCACGCTCCGGACCCCTTTGACAAAAGGCCTTTGTTTATTCATCTCTCTCTACTTCCGTTTATATAAATTGTTCTCCTTATCCCGATGCTGTTCTAAGAAAAAATGTAAAATATTAATATGGACTAAAACAGCTGTGGGCTATCAATTTTTGTAGGCTCATACCAAGTACACTCAATACGGGTAATGCCGGGCTGAGGGAAAAAGTGCAATGATAAGATTGAACAAAAAGTACCACACAATTTAATTAAAACCTCGTTAATGTACTCTATTGATGTCTATTGTATAAAAGTCTTGTTTTAACTCAGTGAACTGCTTATGATTTGTTCAATATCTATTTTCAAGAATGTGGAAAAACTAATAGATAATTGAATGTAATAAATACAAAAAAAAATAATAAAAATAGAATAAATAAATGTGGGGAAAAATTCTCGAAGCGTTAGAGGACACTCATTGGACTTGGGTCAAAGATCGTACTGTGTGCAGACCACCAGCGCCTTAGTATAAACCTTCCAAGAAACAATTTTGGACCTGGGCGACATTTGCCTGCTATTGTTTACAATAAACAAATGCCGAATGACGAATGATGCGTTGGAGTTTATCTCCACTAGAAAGTGGAGATGAGGACAGTTCGTCTAGCAACTCGGGTGAGAGCACATCCAGCTACTTTAACCAATATTAACTGAGATATATATTTCGGTTTGCGTTTATCTTGACTTTATATATCGTT